GTCCCTCAACCTTGAGTCGATGTGGTCAGTCCATCAATCTTGAATAGAATATGGCATACGTGCGGAGAAGGAGCTTATAAACCGTTGGTAGGAGAGGTGCAGCAGTCATAGGTGGTGTCACATTTGGTCAATGTGGAAGTAGGTCGTGCCTAAGAATTAGGCAAGCAAAGAATTCCCAAGTATTAAGATCCCAAGAAGTTGCAGTGTCTGACAGGTTTGTAGATGAATGGTTCAGAGAAGTGACATGATTGATGGACTGACCACATTGACTCAAGGTTGAGGGACTGATTACCTCATTCTCCTCCTGTTCTTCAAGATTCTCCTTTGTATGGACTGATGAAGCCACTGTGTGGCGAAACATTTCCTCAATAAAGATACCCAAGAGTTGCACATGTGTCTAATTTATCAACATGTCGGTTCTCTGAACCATTCATCTACAAACCTGTCAGACACTGCAACTTCTTGGGATCTTAATACTTGGGAATTCTTCACTTGCCTAATTCTTGGGCATGACCTACTTCCACATTGAACAAATGTGACACGACCTATGACTGCTGCACCTCTCCTACCAACGGTTTGTAAGCTCCTTCTCCGCACGTATGCCATATTCTATTCAAGATTGATGGACTGACCACATCGACTCAAGATTGATGGACTGACCACATCGACTCAAGGTTGAGGGACTGATTACCTCATTCTCCTTCTGTTCTTCAAGATTCTCCTTTGTATGGACTGATGAAGCCACTGTGTGGCGAAACGTTTCCTCAATAAAGATACCCAAGAGTTGCACATGTGTCTAATTCAACAACATGTCGGTTCTCTGAACCATTCATCTACTAACACATAATATAAGTTGCAGAATCATCACGTCTGAACAAGTGGAAATGCATATTACTGTCCAGTCATGCTTATACCTTATATCAACAATAGAATGAAAGGAACACGTACAAGACTTAGGAATGATTATGTCAGCTGACCTTTCTTTCAAAGAACATAAGACAAAGATCACGACACCCAAGAGGATGACAGGGTGGGTATTGAGAACCTTCAAAACAAGGGAAATCATGCCAATGATAACACTCTTCAAGTCGCTAGTGCCGCTCATTTGGAATATTGCTCAGCGTTGATGATCCCATTCAAAGCAGGAGAAATATCAGAGCTGGAACAAATACAGAGATCGTTTACAGCACATATAGAGCCAGTAAAGCATTTAAATTACTTGGAACACCTTAAAGCCTTGAACATGTACTCAATGGAACGGAGGAGAGAGAGATACAAGATATTATATACCTGGAAAGTACTCGAGGGCCTGGTCCCAAATCCGCACACTGCCATAACAACATAACAGAATGAGAGATATGGAAGGAAATGCAAAATTAACCCAGTGAGGAGCGGGAGTGTAGTGGGCACAATAAGTGAACACTTTATCAACATTCTTGGATCCAGACTACTCAACATCTTACCAGAAGATATCAGAAGCACAGCTGGAACAAGTGTAGAAGCCTTCAAGAGGAAACTGGAGAAGTGCCTTCACCAAGTGTCAGATCAGCCAGGCTGTGATGAATATGTGAGGCAGCGGGCCTCCAGCAGCAACAGCCTGGTTGACCAGGCAAGCCCAAGATGAACCTGGCCCATGGCCAGGCTCCGAGACTAGAGAGACTCTTGAAACTCATTAACGGTATATATACAGCATAGCACTTTCTTTGGCTTTTTTAGGTTATCCTAAGTAATTTACACTATGTATGATAACTGTAGCAATGTGTACCTGTACCTAAATAAACTTACTCAGCCCTTGATTTTGGCTTATGAGAGGCTCTGGGAAAGACTGACGGACGGACGGCCAGCCAGCCGTCCAAACATGTATTACACATTACAGATTTGTTTCTCTTTACTTAGGGCATAGGTTATAGGACATTCTGGCAGGATGGCACTACCAGTGGTATCAAAATTGAAAGGATGTGGCACAAATGTTGCACATGGGTTATTATCGAGGTTTTCAATATTTCCTCGACCACTCGTAGCAACATCCATCTCAAAGTCACTAAACTCAGGATCAACATCACTTTCTACTTAAAAGGGAAGTGTTAATACGACATGGCATTAGTGAATCCCTGTTGTTTGCTCTAGCTGGCATTGAATTGAACTGGTGCACCCACAAGGTACTAAGTGGTCCCAAATTTTTTTTAATACTACACACACTGAGCGTTAAGACCCATCTGTACTGACTAGGCCTATCAGGCTTATCGAACCAAATTTGGAGGCAGGAAAAATAAAACATCGATCTATGTTTGGAGCACTAGTAGTAAGAACGTAGAACAACATTTGGACAGTTAAAGGGTTAACTATCTGATCCTCACTAGACTTCAACTATTTCATAAAGCATCGCCATCAACAATATTAAGAAAGAAAAACTATTATTTTTCAAAGCATTATAAAATTAAATTAATTTTTTAGGTCTGTGGAATGCAACGTGATTTTTCTGATATTTCTTCACTCCATAAGTCATGGAAATCACTGTTAGCACAGTTTCAGGAATGTAACCTGTGTGAATTATGAAAGTCTACTCAAAAACTATCTGCTCACCCTAAACTAAATATTCAATACTTAAATTTGCCAAAATATCTCACAATTACCTAAATCTTAACACTTCAAAATTTAGATACCCCAAGTTCATACATAACATAATACTACATTGTAGTATATTTTTTTTTTTTTTCAACACGTCGGCCGTCTCCCACCGAGGCAGGGTGACACAAAAAAGAAAGAAAATCCCCAAAAAGAAAATACTTTCATTATCATTCAACACTTTCACCACACTCACACATCATCACTGCTTTTGCAGAGGTGCTCAGAATATAACAGTTTAGAAGCATATACGTATAAAGATACACAACATATCCCTGCACAAAACTATACTGCCTTGCACCTCATTGTAACATTCTCATACTGTAAACTACTTTTGCCAATGCTCAATATTTTATTCCAATAATATAACTTAAATATTTACTATTGATATACACAACCTACAAAATATTTGCAAATTGTCCCAATGTAATATCCCCAGGTTGTAACTTGAGAAAATTTACTGTCTGCTTTAAATAAAAACAGGTGTACAACTTAAACAAAGTATGATCAATTTCTCTAGTATTAAGTAGTCTAAGTCAATAATCTAGTCTGTCTATAATGCCATGGCATGATAGTGGCTCTTTGAATGAAACTCATTATTGTAATTACAGAATCTCAATGTAAACTTGCAAGGAAATAAAAATTGTACTGTACAGTGGACCCCCGGTTAACGATATTTTTTCACTCCAGAAGTATGTTCAGGTGCCAGTACTGACCGAATTTGTTCCCATAAGGAATATTGTGAAGTAGATTAGTCCATTTCAGACCCCCAAACATACACGTGCAAACGCACTTACATAAATACACTTACATAATTGGTCGCATTCGGAGGTGATCGTTATGCGGGGGTCCACTGTACTGTATATCAACAACTACCTAATACCTTATGTCTTCTCTCACCCAAACCCAACCATACTAACAGACACTGTAAATGCTGAACTGATAAAATTTTTTTTATCTACCTGGATGATTACCAAGAAACTTACTCTCAATATTGACAAAACCTACATCATGCTTTTCGGAAGCAGAGCTTCAAATGTACAGCTTAACATATTGATAAATGGTTCACCTATCTCGAGACAGGCAGAGGGCAAATTTCTAGGTCTCCACCTTGACTGCAGTCTCAAATTTCAGACCCACATACAGTAAATTTCCAAGAAAGTCTCCAAAACAGTAGGCATCCTTTCAAAGATATGGTATTATGTACCCCAATCAGCTCCTCTAGCTTTGTACCAGTCTCTCATTTACCCTTACCTCACCTATGGTATTTGTGCATGGGGCTCAACTACAGCAAACCACCTAAAGCCTTTATTAACCCAACAAAAAGCTGAAGTGCGATTGATTACTAACTCCTGCATTAGACAACACACTCCACCTCTTTTCAAGAGTCTTAACTTGCTTAATATACAAACATCCACACTTATTATTGTGGCTATTACATACACAGAACACTATACTCAAATGTAAACCCTCCTCTCAAACTCCTACTTGATAACTATAACAGAACACAACCATAATACGAGACACAAATCACTCTTTGAAATCCCTCATGTCCATCTCTCCCTATGCAAAAATGCTATGCATGTAAAAGGCCTGAAAAACTGGAATTCATTGCCAGAACACACTAAAAGACCCCTGTCTGCAAATCAGTTTAAGGCCCTACTAAGAAACCACCTCATCACACAAAATTAACCAGATCAACCATACCTAATCACTACCAGTTACTCAAAAGCTACTCACTTGCACTGATGAATGCTCAACCACTTACTCATTTCTTCAAAATTAGGATGTCTAAATTTCATTGTTTTAAACAGTACTAAATTGTAATACATCATATTGTAAATTGTTTTTAAATTGTTTCATTGTAATACCAAATTTCATTGTTTTAAATAGTACTAAGATGTAATATATCATATTGTAAACTGTTTTAACTTGTTCCATTGTAATACTGTAATCTTTAAAAACTAATTCAACAGTGTAATAAATCTCTACTAGATTTATCAAAGCCATGTACCATTACCTAATACAATATACAGTTCTCTTGTACTTACTGTTACTCATCTAATGGCCATATGAACTATTATTGTCTTCCTAATCTTAAGTTAATCTTAAAGTTTGCCCTAAATGCTCTGCATACAAAGGGGCTTTTAGCATGTACACCCAACTATTATATTCCTCTGTACAACCATGTACCATGTCAAAATAAACATCTTAATCTTAATATAAACAACTACCTAATATATCAAGAGATATGTAATATATCAAAAGCTACCTAATATATCAAAATGTATGTAATATATCAACAACAACTATTTAATATATCAAGAGGTGTTTAATATACATGTATATATAAAGGTTGTATTATTGAGACTTACCGTGGATTAATGTAACATCATGGAGGTGCTTGGCCAGACCTTCCAGTGGTGTAGCTGGGTGTTTGCTGCTGTTGCTGCACATTTTCCTGGGTGATCTTCTCAACCTTGATTCTCCATCATTCTTCCCTTGCACACAACTAATATTTTCTTCACCTGCATCAATAAAATTGGGATAGTTACATGACAGGAATATTGATAACTATTTTCTTGCAACAAAATACATACAAGATGCGAAGGTAAATATCATATTTTTTAAAATTAAAAATTCTCTGAAACACTATGTACATAAAATACAAATAAAAAACTTTTTTCACTTGTATTTGTTCTATGTGTATAGTGTTAAATTTTAGAGAATGTTTTAAGAAAGCTCAGATGTTGAGGTCGGTAAGCAAATTGATCGATAAGCGAAGAGCCGCCCCTTATTAATATTTTAAGTATATTGTGCTGTCATCTTTAGATATTGTTTTAATGTCACCTTTGCACCATTTATAACATTATTAGTATATTAAAAATAGAACTGGGCATTAAAAAACAATAAGAAAATTAAATACACATACAATACACTCATTACTTACCTTAAAATATTTGTAGTCTTAATGTAAGGGGAGAGGTGAGTATTTATTGTAGCAAGAGGAAGAAGAAAAGGAAAGAATGGAAGTACAAAAGAAGTTCACTGTAAAGGGGTCGGCGTGTATGAGCCAATTGGAAGTGTACAGGAATTAATACGCGTTCATCTGTTTTACATTCTCAGTGTGTCTCATTCTCTCTCTCGTTTACTCGTTTAATAATATTAAGAATAATAAAGCCCTATATCACTCTCTTATTTACCCCTATCTCACCTATGGAATTTGTGCATGGGGCTCAACAACAATAAACCATCTCAGACCATTAATTACCCAACAAAAGGCTGCAGTCAGAATGATAACAAACTCCCACTACAGGCAGCACACTCCACCAATATTCAAAACTCTAAACTTACTCACTGTACAAAACATCCATACTTATTATTGTACCTACTACATACATAGAACACTTAACTCAGATATAAACCCTCCCCTCAAATTTCTCCTTACCAACCTCAACAGAACACATGACCATAACACAAGACACAGATCACTCTTGGATGTTCCTCGTGTCCATCTCACACTATGTAAAAATGCAATGCACATAAAAGGCCCAAAAACCTGGAATTCATTACCTGTGAATATAAAAGAAATACTGTCTGTTTATCAATTCAAGACTCTTCTTAAAAACCACTTACTCACCCACAACTAAATACTGATTAACTGTATCTCATAAATGTATAACCTGTGGCCCTATCAAACTATGTTTTTTAATTACATTACCTAATAGAATACTCCAATCTCTTGAATGCTCAGTAACTCATCAAATGGCCATATGACCTGTTTCTGCACTACAAATCATGGATTTTACTTGATTTGACCGGATTATATTATAAATTGTGCTACAAATTTGCACAACTATGAAACTACTTATTTGAAATACTCATGTATACTGCATGTTGTAATTTGTTTACTGTAATTTTTACCACTGAACATATCATTGCTTAGTTAATCTTAAGTTAATTTTAAGCCTGCCGATAATGCTCTGCATACAAGGGGCTTTTGGCATGTACAGCAGGGCCCCGCTTTGCGGCGTTTCGCCTTACAGCATTCCGCTAATACGGCAATGTCAAATTATGACCAAAATATGCTATACGGCAAGCGGTCTTTCAAATACGGCGCACCCCACCTGGTTTGTTTACATACTCCATTATCACATCTATTATGTCAGGAAACTTTCCAAAACTTCAAGTGTTTTAACCCTTTCAGGGTCGAAATGCCCTCCCCCAAACTTGTTCTCAGGTCAAATTGGGGGATAACTGTAGAAAAATATTCTTTTCGTATGCCTTCACTCTATATATAGCAATTCATGACCCTTGTAGGTTTAGTGCTTTTTTTATGATAATAATAATATGTAAAAATAATAATAATACAGTGGTCCCTCAATTATCGTCCATAATCCGTTCCTGGAAGTGGGAATCGAAATAGACAATTTTCGAATCAATTTTCCCCATAACAATTAATGTAGGAGGAATAACATCTTGTAGGAGTGAGGAAGAGCCAGTTGTGAGTGTGGGGGAAGTTCGTGAGGCAGTAGGTAAAATGAAAGGGGGTAAGGCAGCCGGGATTGATGGGATAAAGATAGAAATGTTAAAAGCAGGTGGGGATATAGTTTTGGAGTGGTTGGTGCAATTATTTAATAAATGTATGGAAGAGGGTAAGGTACCTAGGGATTGGCAGAGAGCATGCATAGTTCCTTTGTATAAAGGCAAAGGGGATAAAGAGAGTGCAAAAATTATAGGGGGATAAGTCTGTTGAGTGTACCTGGTAAAGTGTATGGTAGAGTTATAATTGAAAGAATTAAGAGTAAGACGGAGAATAGGATAGCAGATGAACAAGGAGGCTTTAGGAAAGGTAGGGGGGTGTGGACCAGGTGTTTTACAGTGAAACATATAAGTGAACAGTATTTAGATAAGGCTAAAGAGGTCTTTGTGGCATTTATGGATTTGGAAAAGGCGTATGACAGGGTGGATAGGGGGGCAATGTGGCAGATGTTGCAAGTGTATGGTGTAGGAGGTAGGTTTACTGAAAGCAGTGAAGAGTTTTTACGAGGATAGTGAGGCTCAAGTTAGAGTATGTAGAAAAGAGGGAAATTTTTCCCAGTAAAAGTAGGCCTTAGACAAGGATGTGTGATGTCACCGTGGTTGTTTAATATATTTATAGATGGGTTTGTAAGAGAAGTAAATGCGAGGGTCTTGGCAAGAGGCGTGGAGTTAAAAGATAAAGAATCACACACAGGGTGGGATGTTGTCACAGCTGCTCTTTGCTGATGACACTGTGCTCTTGGGAGATTCTGAAGAGAAGCTGCAGAGATTGGTGGATGAATTTGGTAGGGTGTGCAAAAGAAGAAAATTAAAGGTGAATACAGGAAAGAGTAAGGTTATGAGGATAACAAAAAGATTAGGTGATGAAAGATTGAATATCAGATTGGAGGGAGAGAGTATGGAGGAGGTGAACGTATTCAGATATTGGGAGTGGACGTGTCAGCGGATGGGTCTATGAAAGATGAGGTGAATCATAGAATGATGAGGGAAAAAAGAGTGAGTGGTGCACTTAGGAGTCTGTGGAGACAGAGAACTTTGTCCTTGGAGGCAAGAGGGGAATTTATGAGAGTATTAGTTTTACCAACGCTCTTATATGGGTGTGAAGCATGGGTGATGAATGTTGCAGCGAGGGAGAAGGCTGGAGGCAGTGGAGATGTCATGTCTGAGGGCAATGTGGGTTGTGAATAAATGCAGAGAATTCGTAGTTTGGAAGTTAGGAGGAGGTGCGGGATTACCAAAACTTTTGTCCAGAGGGGCTGAGGAAGGGTTGTTGAGGTGGTTTCGGACATGTAGAGAGAATGGAGCAAAACAGAATAACTTCAAGAGTGTATCGTCGTAGTGGAAGGAAGGCGGGGTAGGGGGGTCGGCCCTAGGAAGGGTTGGGGGAGGGGTAAAGGAGGTTTTGTGTGCGAGGGGCTTGGACTTCCAGCAGGCATGCGTGAACGTGTTTGATAGGAGTGAATGGAGACAAATGGTTTTTAATACTTGACGTGCTGTTGGAGTGTGAGCAAAGTAACATTTATGAAGGGATTCAGGGAAACCGGCAGGCCGGACTTGAGTCCTGGAGATGGGAAGTACAGTGCCTGCACTCTGAAGGAGGGGTGTTAATGTTGCAGTTTAAAAACTGTAGTGTAAAGCACCCTTCTGGCAAGACAGTGATGGAGTGAATGATGGTGAAAGTTTTTCTTTTTCGGGCCACCCTGCCTTGGTGGGAATCGGCCAGTGTGATAATAAAAATAACAATTAATCCGTCCTGACAACCAGAAGTATTAAGACAAAAAAATTTTTTACATGAAATATAGATGTAGTACATAAACAATACAATGGCCGCAAAAAAACTGTTCAGAGAGCTCCATTTCTGGCGTCTCTGTAATACTTCCTTAAAATGGGCCAAAACTCTGTCACTGTGCAAGTTGCCAATATGGCTCGCAACATCCTTCTCAGGGTGATGTTTCTCCATAAATCTTTCCATCCTACCCCATATTTTAAAAATCTCCTAAATTTCTAAAGAAGGCACCTTCTTCCATCTCTCTTCCTCCTCCTCTGCAGCAAGATTCTGAGCTGCAATCTGTTGCTCTTCCTGCTGAGGCTCTTGCAGCTCCTCAGTGGTTAGCTCTTCGTTGTGGTCCTCCACCAACTCTTCCACATCCTCCAAACTCACATCCAACCCCATGGAACTCCCCAGTGCCACAATAAAGTTCACAACTGACATAGGCTTATCAGGGGCCACCTCAAACCCTTCAAAATCCCTCTTGTGGACATACTCTGGCCACAAGTTTCTCCAAGCAGAGTTCAAAGTCCTAGTAGTCACTCCTTCCCAAGCCTTACCTATAAGGGTTATGCAATGGAGAATACTGAAGTGTTCTTTCCAAAAATCTCTTTGGGCCAAGTGAGTGTCTGAGGTCAAAGTAAAGCACCTTTCAAACATTGCTTTGGTGTAATTTTTTTTAAAGTTTGAAATGACCTGCTGGTCCATGGGCTGGAGGAGAGGAGTGGTATTTGGGGGCAAGAACTTTACTGTGATGAACCCAAACTTCTTCAGAATTAGGTCACCCAAGTTTGGAGGATGAGCAGGTGCATTGTCCATTACTAGGAGGCACTTGAGATCCAATTTCTTTTCCAGGAGGTAATTCTTCACTTCATTGAACCACTCGACGAAAATGTCCCTCGTGACCCATGCCTTATTATTAGATCTCCAAAACACACACAATTTACTCTTCATAACATTGTTTTTCCTGAACACTCTCTGGGATTTTCAGAATGGTACACTAGTAATGGCTTCACTTTGAAATCCCCACTAGCATTAGCACAGAACATGAGCGTCAGCCTCTCTTTCATAGGCTTGTGTCCTGGCAGTGCCAGGTCCTCTTTGGCATTTTCTTCCAAAAGAGGCCTGTTTCGTCACAATTGAACACTTGCTCAGGTTTCAGTCCTTCAGCCTCTATGTACTCCTTGAATTCTGCACATAATTTTCAGCCGCTTTTTG